ATTTTAGCGCTCCGGACCCTGCCAGAACTGCCTGTCGTGGAGAATCTCAATATGGAGCTGCCGCGAGAGAGATTAGCCATGTTACAGATTCCTTGGCAAGTGGATGCTTCTTAGAAATGACGGCATCCCAGCCAAGGCACTTAAGCACATCCAGATGGTGATTAGCCAGCCTCCTCAATCGCCTGCTTTGCTGCTGAAGGGAAGGCGTAGTTCCATAAGACAGGGCAATTGTGATGCCAACATTATTACCCAGTGCGAGAACAAAAGGGACCAGGGAGGCTGAAACACTTCCTGTGAGATCTCCCTTCACAAAACTGCAGAGAATCCATTATGCAGTGTCACTGGAAGAAAAAACAACAACCCCAACAAGCGTGATCTACAAATGCAGAAGAATGAGATGGTAGGATCCATTATGCAGTGTCACTGGAAGAAAAAACAACAACCCCAACAAGCGTGATCTACAAATGCAGAAGAATGAGATGGTAGGATCCTGAGGCAAGATGGAGAGTAGTACTACATGAGTGGAAAATGCCACTCATCAATGCTTCCGCATGGGGGAAAGAATCTCTGCAAGCAGAAAGCAAGGACATCAGGGAGACATGTTCTGGTCTTTTCCATGCTTTGCTAATTTTCTACTTGCAGATAATTATTGCAACATAGGTGAGCATTCAAAGCTATGATTCCCAAGTTGCACTCTGAAGCTCCTTCTTCCATCGTGGGGTTCTATGAGTTCTTTCTGTTGCAGGCTTTGAGGTTTTTCTTCAAAATGGCTATGCCTTGTCCAGCCAGGGTCGGCTAAGGCGGCAGCCCCATAGACAACCCCACCTGCCCCACCGCTTCTGTCGCTGGTGCAGAAGTTGGCTCCACTTCTCTGTTAGCGGCGGAGGGGGCAGGTGGGCAAAGAAACAGCACCGGGGGCAGCTGGTATGGCAATACTGGCAGCAGGACAGGGCAAGGTGGCACTTCCTGTTTTGCCACATGTAACAAAATAGGACACGGCACCCCTGTGTTCAGCTGAAGAACAAGTTGCTCCAGTTGGTGCAAAAGGCTGAAGCTAGATTGTTGATAGAAACAGACTGCCACCAGCCCGTAACTCTGGTGCTTAAAAACTTAAACTTAGCTGCCCATATGCTCCCCTACCGGGATGAAGTCTGTTGTATTAATTTACAGGGCCCTTAACAACTTAGGTTTACAGGCTTCCTCAACCTCTGCCCTCCAGATGTTTTGAGATTACAATTCCCTGACCACTGGTCCTGCTAGCTAGGGATCATGGGAGTTGTAGGCCAAAAACATCTGGAGGGCAGAGGTTGTGGAAGCCTGGTTTAGGAGACCTCAAACACCACCTGATTTATTATATCCCTGCCTGATCATTGAGGTATTTGAGGGAATCACTATTAATGGTACTCCATGGTTGGGATGCACAGCTTATAACTACTAGGAGTCATGTATTGTAGGTCCAGTTTTATGGTACTTCCTTCCAGTCAAAGTCAGACGGACCCTCTCCCTATTGAACTTCCAGTGGCTACTGAAGACCTTTTCTTATTATTATTTCAGCAGGCATTTTAATCAGCAGGCAATCTGATTTTATAGTTTTAACTAATATATTTATATCCTTATTGTATAAATTTACTGGGATATTCCTTTTAAGATGACTCTAATGAAGCTTCACATTGTCAAAATAAAGGGGCGGGACAAAGAAATAAGTGCAAACATGTAATTAATGGATTTCTTGTTGAAAACCAGAGACACAGAATGAAGCTCATGTTAATCCAAGTAATTCAAAGGGATGATGCAAGTTGGTTTTTTTATCCTGTAGAAAGAATACATTTATCCTATAAATCATGTGTATATATCCTTCCCAAAGCCATAGCAAATGTAGAAAAAGAATACAACACGTCCTTAAAATCCAGTTAAACCACTTAGGTGGAAATAAGGTTTAGAACCCCAACCTACTAGCAAAATCCAGTATAAACACCTTGTCAACACTTCCCAACTGTGTGGGGTTTGGTGGTGGTGCCAGTGTGGTGTAGTGGTCAGAGTGTTGGACTAGGAGCTGGGAGACTAGAGTTCAAATCTCCACTCGGTCATGAGAGCCACACCCTCCAACATTTCTCCAAGGAAAATAGGGACACCCTAAGGGAAAGTGGGACATTCCAGGGTCAAATTAAAAACCGGGACGGCTTCTGTAAATCTGGGACTATCCCTGAAAAATAGGCGGAACTTGTTCCCACTCACTTTCTCAGATAACCTGCATTGGAGGGGATTGGACTAGATGATCGTCAGGGTCTCTTCCAACTCTGTGATTCTGTAAATATCTCACAGCTGTCCATGAAGGCGCAGGTCAATTCTGTGTCCAGGGCAGCTGTTTATCAGCTCCATCTGGTATGTAGGCAGAGACCCTACCTGCCCGCGGACTGTCTCGCCAGAGTGGTGCATGCTCTAGTTATCTCTCTTTTGGACTACTGCAATGTGCTCTATGTGGGGCTACCTTTGAAGGTGACCCAGAAACTACAACTAATCCAGAATGCAGCAGCTAGACTGGTGACTGGGAGCGGCCGCCAAGACCACATAACACCAGTCTTGAAAGACCTACATTGCCTCCCAGTATGTTTCCGAGCACAATTCAAAGTGTCGTTGCTGACCTTTAAAACCCTAAATGGCCTCGGTCCAGTATACCTGAAGGCCTCCACCCCCATCGTTCTGCCCGGACACTGAGGTCCAGCGCCGAGGGCCTTCTGGCAGTTCCCTCATTGTGAGAAGCCAAGTTACAGGGAATCAGACAGAGGGCCTTCTCGGTAGTGGCACCCAACCTGTGGAACGCCCTCCCACCAGATGTCAAAGAGAAAAACAACTACCAGACTTTTAGAAGACATATGAAGGCAGCCCTGTTTAGGGAAGTTTTTAATGTTTAACAGACCACTGTATTTTAATACTTTGTTGGAAGTTGCCCAGAGTGACTGGGGAAAGCCAGCCAGATGGGCGGGGTATACATAATAAATTTTATTATTATTATTATTATTATTATTATTATTATCTCATAAGGTTGTTGTGGGGATAAAATGGGGAGAACCATGTTTGCCACTCCATGTTTGAGCTCCTTGGAAGAAAGGTGGGATATAAATGGAATAATAAAGGGAAAGAAAGAATGAAAAAAAAGTTTAACCCCATGACAGAGGGCAGCACCAAGTTGTCTGTGTCCTCACTTTCCCTGAGCATGGCTCATTTTAATAAATATATAAAATAATTTTTACAAGGATATTTTATGACTCAGCTGTCACAAAGGTGAAGGAAGGCTTTCCCCCAAGCTACAGACTTTGCATTTCTTCCTCACTAACAACTGCAGCTGGACCATAAAGAAGGCTGATCGCCGAAGAATTGATGCTTTTGAATTATGGTGCTGGAGGAGACTCTTGAGAGTCCCATGGACTGCAAGAAGATCAAACCAATCCATTCTTAAGGAAACCAGCCCTGAGTGCTCACTGGAAGGACAGATCCTGAAGCTGAGGCTCCAATACTTTAGCCACCTCATGAGAAGAGAAGACTCCCTGGAAAAGACCCTGATGTTGGGAAACATGGAGGGCACAAGGAGAAGGGGGCAACAGAGGACGAGATGGTTGGACAGTGTTCTCGAAGCTACCAGCAGGAGTTTGACCAAACTGCAGGAGGCAGTGGAAGACAGGAGTGTCGGGCGTGCTCTGGTCCATGGGGTCACGAAGAGTCGGACACGACTAAACGACTACACAACAACAACTAAGAGGGGCCAGCAGAAGATGTTATGTTATTTCCTGTTCCCTGCACATGAGAAGCTTATACTTCTTCTTCTCTTCTTTGGCGATCACTCGTAGGCAAGTAAGATTGTCTTCCATGAACACAGTCTTAACAGTGGGAGAAACTGATAAGCACAGCCTGAATAAATCTATAGTTTAATATGGTCCCTGCCAAACTGCAGGGAGGCAGTGGAAGACAGGAGTGCCTGGCGTGCTCTGGTCCATGGGGTCACGAAGAGTCGGACACGACTAAACGACTAAACAACAACAAACTGCAAGCATTAAATGCATATTCCTCATTCACACAAACACACACACACCCCATAGCTTTCTCAAAAGCTGCACTTCACTGAGCCACGGCCACTCTTTTGTGCAACTGCATTTTAAAGCTTAAAAGTCAGTTTATTTTCCTCTGACTGGTTGCGTGTCGAGGTCCCCAATCCACCCCCAAAATAACTCACAACGGACACGTAATTTTTTGTTTAAGATTTTTGGCATGATTTTGGCCACAACTTTATTAAAATACAAACCGTGAGTGGTTGTTTAGGCATTGGTTAAGACTATCTGTCCCCCCGCCTGGGGACAGAACTGACTTCCGGGCACCACCGAAAGACAGTGCGGGGGAAAGCAAGTCGGCGAGAAATGGAGCTGAGTCACAGACCCTCAATTCTCACCCGCCTGCTCCCCGAAGGCTTGCCGGCCCTAGTCCCATTCCAGGGATTGGACGAAAAGATGGCAAGCCCCAGGATTCCTTTAACGGAATTCCCTTTCCGCAGCAACCATGGAGGGGCAGGCCCAGCCTATCCTAACCCCTCCTCCACCAGATTTATAACCAATGCCTAACCACAACCTTACAAGTTGTGACGATTTGCTACGCAGTAGGCAAAAACCACCCAGCCAGCCAATTTGCCAGGTGGAAAAATTCCTACCAGGCCCTTGCTCAAAGGCAGACGACCCCATGACAGGCATAGCAAGGTCAACGCAACAACCCTTACTCTGTGATCCGTTGCACGCAGCAAAAGAGAAAGTACGAGGCTGCGTGCAGAGTATTTAAACCTTTTACCCCTCCCACCAAAATTGCAATATAACTTTTCCCCCAGCAACTCAGCAATCCAATCACCGCCCCCTGGCCATCTTGGAGAACTTACCCAGCAACAAAGGGGGTGGCTCAGTAGACCCCACCACAACACATGCTCTCCCTGAAGGAGAACACGCTTTGCACTGATAACATAATAGAGGTGGCATGAATAAAGCAAAGGTGGCATTAGAACGTCAACAAGGAGACGCTAAGGGGAAGTGAAAGAAAATAATAGATCAACAGACATAAAGAACTTTTATTGAGCACTAGAGGGAAAAAATTGAAACGGTAAAAAAAAAAATTGCCATTCAATGCATCAGTTCCTTAAAAAAAAATCTGAATCTCTCTCTCTCTCTCTCTCGCTTTTCATGACAAGACGTGGATGGCTGAGGAAACATGCAATGCTTTTATCGGGAGGGGTGGAAAGAAGATAAAAAGAGAAAAGTGTTAGCTTCTTTTGTAGAAAAAGAAACACACATTTTTGACAGCGGATGTCTTAGCACAAGCAAGGAAAACATTGTTTTTGGCTGCTGGATATAAATCTGTAGAGGTAAAAGCCCATTGCATTGTGAGTAGAGTTGCAGCCTATCTCTTCTTCTGCTCATTGAACAAAGATAATTGGCATGGTAATTAATTGGTTGGGCAATGTGTATCTCTGGAGTGTGTGCATTTGTATACCGTGTCTGGGTGTGTGTGTGTGTGTGTGTGTGTGTGTGTGTGTGTGCAAACACATTCTATTTGCCTTAAAATTAGGGGTGCCGCCTTTTCTCCTGGCAGCCCCTCCCCCCAGTTAATTGATGTAGCATTTTCTTGCATAGACATGCACTGATAGGAGAGGGGGACTCCACCTGTTGAATTTCCCCAGGTTATTGCATAATAATGCAGCTACTGCATGCAAATGTCAATGACACAAGAGCTCTGCTAGTTAAATAAAGCTCTTGAAATAGGAGCAGTGCCCGTTGCCAGAACAAGAGAGAAACTGCAGGATTTAGAGTCCAGTCCTAACACATGAAGTCAATGGGGGGATTAGGAGCTGGCACACAGCCCGTTTTGTTGGCCTCTGTTGTTGGAGAGGACTGCAGCTGTGTCATGGCGGAGGCCCCAGCATTGCCCAGGCAGGTGGTAAGCTCCTCCTGATGGTTCTCCCACTGGTGGTAGGCAGCAGTAGCAAACTCTGAAATGGGACATGGGGTGGAGGCTTAGTATCTGCTGGATTCCACTTCAGTCCTGCAAATCGGGCCTTGCACCCCAAATCTGAAACAATATTTGAAAAACCGAAGCATTTGTTTCCCCATCACTTTCCCTACTGCATATAGCACAGATATTGATTTCGGAAGTCCGTTTGTCAGGGCAAAGCACCAAACCCATTTTAACGGCATAACCTGAATGTGCTGGTACACGACTGAATCCCACCACAGACAGCCTGGCAGCGTCCAAGGTAATAAAAAATAATAGATTCTAAATATGCAAACGGCACTACATTAATGTTTAATAGCATTCCCATTTGTACAAACTTATTCTCTCCCTTTTTTTGGTCTTAATGTTGCCTGGCCCATTTAGAAATATATGAAATGGAATTGCATTATTTTCTAACCGGAGAGGATGCGATGGAATATGGTTCTGCGCACATAAAGTACAAAGCTACCAGGGTTGGAGATGCTGATGATTTGGAGCTGGGTGGTGTGTCCCCCCCCCCCCCGCTTCTTCGCCCCCCCCCCAAAAAAAAAGAAAAAAAGAAGACATCTAATTTGCTGCTCTTCTAGTTAAAATCATTGGGAAAAAGTGCTGACAATGACAGGCCAGAAACAAAGCTGCTTCTCAACTAACAACCTTAATGAGAAATTTTCTGTCTGGGTTTTGATCTCCCCCCAGCGTGAAGGCTGCCCTTTTGCAGACTTGCATTCCGATCATGAGCTCATGTATGCTGATAACAGCGTGCAGCCAGCCTCGACGTTGCTGGGCTTGTCTATTGTCGGTGATGGTATTGATTGTAGGCACGGTGTCATCCACGAACCTTGATATCTCCTAAAAGCAACGGAGGAAATCTTATTTTGTGCAGCACATCTAGACTTTTGCTCGTGAGTCCCTTTGCAACTGAGAAAGCGTTGCTGAGATCCTTTGGTAACTGTGGGTTATAGCTTGTTTGGTGTTTATTCTGGGGGCTGCAAGACTGGACTGGAGCACATGGGGGTCCTAAACTCTGCAACCGTGTGCCCACTTACCTGGGTACCAGTCCCATTGAACTCAATAGGACTTGCTTCTGATAATATATGCATAGACTTGCAGTGGTTAAATGTGGCCCTCTATTAATCAACATGAATAGTATGTAATATATTATTTTACACAATACCATGCTATACCAAACCATACCATATCATATATCCTATTTGATTACATTATATTAATATAAGTACTGGTGGGGAGGGGTGGATAGCAGGAAGGAAGGGACCTCAAAAGTCATCTAGTCCAACCCCCTGCAATGCCAGAATCTCAACTAAAGCAGTGGTGACAGATGGCTACGCAACCTCTGCTTAAAGACCTGCAATGCTAGTGTGGTAGTACTAAATGCGGTTATGCATATAACAGGTCTGTTTTCAGATGATGCTGGACTCCAGCTCCTATCCTTCCTGACCACTGGCCATGTTAGCCAGGGCTGATGGGAGTTGGAGTCCAGCAACATCTCAAGGGCCACAGGTAACCCAAGATAGCAGCTTCAGGGAGACCAGACAGGATCAGGGCTGCAGCACATGGAGAGGGGAGGGGTTAATTCTCATCACCTTTATAGAAATGTCTGAAAATGTTTCCACTTCAGAGTTTTTAGGAAGCTTCCAGGAAATGGTGCCAATGTGAATTTCCATCCTGGGGTTTACTAGCAGCATGTAGGCAAGGGTTTTGTTGGACCACGTGGAGGGGATGAGGGGAAATAAGCTGGTGGTGTGAATAGATGTTTCAAAGAAAGATCTCCTTAAGAATCACTAAAATCTATGATTTCCTACTCAGAGTAGACCTATTAATGTTAGTGGACATGGGAAACTTAAGTTCATTCATGTAAGTGGGTCTACTCTGAGTTGTTGTTGTTTAATTTTTTATTTCCAAAACCGAAAAAAGAAAAATTACAAACATCAAATTCAACATCCATATTCATTTCCCACCATAATCCTATTACATAATTAACTAAATTAAAATATACCTAATTACTCTAAACTTCTCTTTGCTGTATACAAATACAACACAGTTAGAAATTTTATATTAAAGCTTTTATATTATAAATAATATTTCAAATTCCCCTATACCCCCCATTCCCCTTCACCCATGTGCGATCTCTCTCTCTCTCTCTCTCTCTCTCTCTTTTACTTCTTCCGTCTTGTTGTGTTGTTATAATTTAATCATTGTTCAGTGGGTCTACTCTGAGTACAGCACAGCCCTGTTTCTCATGCTGCCCTAGTTGCAGGTGGCAAAATGAAAGGGTCAGTTTGGCCATCATTCTCCCCAGTCCATTTTGACCTCATGACAACCCTGTGAGGTAGGTTAAGCAGATGGCCAGAGAGGGGACGAGAGAGGGAGAGAGACTTGCCAAAGTTCACCCAGTAAGCTTGTGGCAGGGGTTGGGAGTGGAGGACTGGAACACCACGCCGCTGGAGTTTTGCCTATGGCTATTGAATGAACCCAGGGTTGGGGCGAAATTTGAACCAGAGGCTTTCTGCTTCCCACTCGGAGCGGCTGTGCTACACCCCATCACACTGGCTCTCAGCTTTCCGTTTGCTCTGTGATCAGTTACATGCTGCCTGCCAACAATTGTAAATGATCACCAACCAGACGAATCTGACAGACTCTTCCCCAGAGATTCATGAACTGTGCTTTATAGCAGGCGGATGCACCACACCATCAAACTCAAAGAATGTAAACTGGGTGGCGGGGAGAGATGATTACAGCTGGAGCTGTGTGGAGAGGGAAGGGGGGGGCAGAACAGAAAGAAACTGGAATAGAATGCATATTCAATTGGCAGCAGCATGGCCAGAGCCAAGGGTTGATGTGTCTGGGCACCTGCTGAGGGACAATACCTCAGCTGAGGCACAGTGGCAAAAGTCCCCTCCAACCTGCTTGTTCACCCACCTCTGCCTCTCTCTCTTACAGACAAGGTTGGTGGTTCTTATGGAGGGAGCAGACATCCCTGCTTGCTTGCTCATTTCATCTCTGAGCCAGTGTGGTGTAGTGGTTAAGAGCGGTAGACTCGTAATCTGGTGAACCGGGTTTGCGTCTCCGCTCCTCCACATGCAGCTGCTGGGTGACCTTGGGCTAGTCACACTTCTTTGACGTCTCTCACCTCACAGAGTGTTTGTTGTGGGGGAGGAAAGGAAAGGAGAATGTTAGCCACTTTGAGACTCCTTCGGGTAGTGATAAAGCGGGATATCAAATCCAAACTCTTCTTCTTCCTCTTCTTCTTCTTCCTCCTCTTCTTCTTCTTCTTCTTCTTGTCTGTCAAGCAAGGAGGAGGTAAAGAGGAGCAACAGGTAATAAGGGTAGTGAATTGGTAGTGAAGGAGGGTTACCCATGAAGGGTTTCCTACCCAAGGACTCTGGAACCCATGTTCATTTACTTAATTCTTGCATTTCCATCCCACTGTTTCTTCAAGCAACTCAGCCTGTGGTTCTTCCCCTCTCCATTTTATCCTCACAGCAAGGTAGAGGCAGAAACAGTGACTGGTGTAAGGGTATCTGGTGAGTTTCATGACTGAGTAGGGATTTCAACCCTGATCTCCCAGGCCCTTGTCCAATATCCTAGCCCCTTCCAATGATGTTGGAGGATTTTCCCTCACAGATATCTGCAAAACTATCCCACAAACTCCATGTGCACCTGGAAGAGACCTTAAATTAGTTTAATGCAGTAGTGGAGAATTGGATCTGGCTGGCGGACCAGATCCTTATATCCCCAGGCTCCATGAGCCAGTTTTGACAAGTCCGTGTAACCACCTACCTGTCATTCTGCTGATGTCATGATGATAGCAGGTGATTGGCACCTGTCAATGTTCAAAGGAGTTTGCTGTAAGTATCCATCAGCTGATGGATCCATTTGAAGATGTGCTTTCAGTGCTTATCAGCTGATTTTTGCTGGGAGTGCATCTTCAAAAAGACCCCCTGTAATAATAATAATAATAATAATAATAATAATTTTTATTTTTATTTATATCCCGCCCTCCCCAGCTGAAGCCGGGCTCAGGGTGGCTAACAACAATAAAACAATACAAAAGTACAGCACAAACAACACTCTAAAATCATTCATTATAAAATTAATCAGCTGATCACTGGTTATAGGAGGCCTCTTTGAAGTATCTATAGAGAGAGAGGTGCTCTGAAAAAAGGGGGGGTCTTTTTCCATAAATAATGGTTTGCATTCAAATAATTTCCTCCAGTTCTTTGTTGGGGGTTTCAGCTGGGCAAGGCTCTCTTCAAGCACTGACAATCAGCTGATCGTTGGTGCTTTCAGAAAGTCCTTTGCTGCATGTTGAAGCCACAACAATAATCTGATAAAGGAATTTCAAATGCATTGCAATGGACTTTGCAGGTGCCACCAATCAGCTGATCAGTGGTGCCTGAAGCCCCTTTTTGGCAAACCTGTGACTTTATCTGCCACATATCTGACATCATCTAGTAAAGAGACCAACTATTAAAGGCACAAGAGCCCTGACCTCTTTTGTATCTTGCTACTCTGTTGGGCGTTGCATAAAATGAAGCTGAGAGCCACAGGTTGCCTATCCCCATATATGAGAGAGAGAGATCATTGCACATGACCCAAAAAAGGCAGGTATTAATAGTTGAGGTGAAAGAAAGAGAGAGAGAGAAGGTGCAGTTAGGCAAGTCTTTTTACTGGAAATTGACTTCCTAAAAAGCTATCTCCTTACTTGCTTACTTGTTTCCCATTTTGTAGGACCTAACACAATAATAACAACAAATCTGTACCAGAACAAGAAAGAGCGGAAAACAGATGTCGGAGGAGAGAGCCAACAAATGCAATGAAAGCCACTGCGCTATGCTGAGCATTGCAAAGTCCATGGGTTTGCACACGCAAAACAGGAAGTGACAGAGGAAGAACATTGTTTGGCAGCTTTTCTCAAATCAGATGAAAAATGGGGAAAGACTATGGGATTCAGGAGGGGTGGGCAAGGACGACAGGAAACAAACCTAGTTTGCTGCTTAACCGGCAACAATTTACACCATTTAAAAACTTCCGCAAAGATCGCAGCTTATCATGAAATGTATTGTATGCCTTGCTGGGTGAGACCAATGGGCCTTTCCCCCAGTATCCTGTCTCTGTCCAGAACCAGGTGTTCCAGATGAAATGTACAACATTACATACTATTGACAACTTCCTATACATTTCCATCTCTCTACGGTCATAGGCTTATGTAATTCTTAAGTATGAAGGGGCTGGCAGATTTATTCTAAAATGCACTTAATCAGTTTTCATTGACTGACCTCCATTCTTCCCCACCCCCACCCCTTTTAGAGTATTATAATAAAAAATAGTTTCTATTCATTTATTATTATCATAACTGTATGCATAATTGTATCACAAAATGAATAAGGAACAAACAACAAAACCTGACCCCTTAATAATCTTTTAAACATAATGTTACTAATCAAGAACTTATCCAAATAGAATGCTTTAATTTTTCCTACCTGCTATAATCAGGGGAAGAAGGGGGGGGGGAATCAATTCAACATTCTCTAAATACAAAAATATATAATCTCTAGTCCAAAATGGTTATTCCAACCCAAAATAAAGCAATGTCTTTAAAAAGAAAAAATAATTTGTCCATATCTTATCTAAACCGTTACCTAAATCACTTAGTTTATTCATACATGGAACTTCTAATCCTTTCTGTAGCCATTCTCTAACAGATGGAGTTGTTGAAATTTTTTCCAATATCATGCCAAGGTAATCCTTGGTGCAATTAAAAGGTTGACAATCAAATTTTCACACTCTTTGAAACATTTGCATACAGTATTCTGTATTTTCTCTTACTTTTTACTTGAATTTTCAAGATGATTTCAACAAATAGACCACTCGCATTCTTCTAACAATCTTCCTGCTTATGTGAAATTATCAATCATTGGTTGGCACATTTGCTATAGAAACACAGGGAGTCTAGGTCTTTGCTTCCAGCCTGGCATTCAGCAGATCAGAAAGTAGGAGGGTGCTATCTTTAAGAGTCTCCAAACACAATTATTTGAACGTGCTTGATAATGGAAGGCCAGTGTGATGCCATCAGGCCCATTTGGGTTTTGTTTTTGTTTTTCTGTTTTTTTAAAGCAACAGGATTTAAGAGCCCCTGGTGAAGGCTTCCTCAGTAGTGTAGAATGTGCTGGTGTTTTTTACGTTCAGATTTCTAATTTGCCCAAGGCAAATTAGCCCAAGGCAGATAACAACATTTCAGACATAATACTGAGAGTATTAAATACTCACTATAGTGGTACCTGTCGAACAGCTTGACTCATGAACAAATTGGCTCCCGAATGCCGTGAAGTAAGTGTTCCGGTTTGCGGACATTTTTTGGAAATCTGACGTGGCTTCCGCAGCTTCCGATGGAGTGCAGGAAGCTCCTGCAGCTAATCGGAAGCCACACCTTGGTTTTTGAATGGTTCCAGGAGTCAAATGGACTCCCAGAATGGATTAAGTTCAACAACCAAGGTACCACTGTAAATAGAAAATACTACATCAAATTAAAGTGATCTCATGCATGCTTAAAACATGTCATGGGAATTGTGGGTTTGTCCACCTACCCCTGAAAACAGCAACTCCACAACATCTCTCCTGGCAGCATAAACAAAACACAGGGCTGACCTAGGTTATTTTATTTACTGGACAAGATGGTCCCCAGTCATTTCACATACTGAAGCTGATCATACTAGCAGTTGAATCTTATTTCAAGACTGGAGATGAAACCACGTTTTCTACCACACCAGAGATCAGGAGGCTGGTTTACGATTAAGTCACTTGGGACACATGGCTCTGTACTCCAACATCTCATTACCACTCTCCAGCATCTGCTACCTCACCCTGCCTAACGTTAGAGCCGATCTTGACAAAATATTTGCCATCTTAGCATTGTGGCCCGAGTTTCCCCTGTCCCTCAAGCTCCAGCCAATGAAGTGAAGGAGGGCAAAGAACTTGGAGCATTACAACATCAAGTTGGACTTTTTTTTTAGTAGACTTTTATGGGGAGTAGGAGGGGAAACAAGAGAAAAGGAGAACACTTGGACCTTAGCTTCATCCTTGAACTTGGTTAGCAAACTCCAGTCCCGGGAACAAGACTTCCATGGCTCCTGGGAAATGAAGGACCACAGCTGCAAATGATCTCTCTGAAAAAGTATCCCTCTCTGTGCTCTTTCATGTGGACTTGAAGCATGAAGGGAATAATTAGAGCAGATCTGGGAAGTTGCAGCAGGGCATATAGAAGCAGAAGGCAGTCAGGAGGTGTTTGCCAGCAGACCACAGGGCAGTTTACAACATAAGAAAATGGAGGGGTTGAGATTACACAAAAAGCAGAGACATCACCTTGCCAACAAAGGTGCGTATAGTTAAAGCTATGGTTTTCCCAGTAGTGATGTATGGAAGTGAGAGCTGGACCATAAAGAAGGCTGATCGCTGAAGAATTGATGCTTTTGAATTATGGTGCTGGAGGAGATTCTTGAGAGTCCTATGGACTGCAAGAAGATCAAACCTATCCATTCTGAAGGAAATCAGCCCTGAGTGCTGACTGGAAGGACAGATCCTGAAGCTGAGACTCGCATGGAAATTCGCATGGAATAATACTTTCGCCACCTCATGAGAAAAGAAGACCCTGATGTTGGGAAAGATGGAGGGCACAAGGAGAAGGGGACGACAGAGGATGAGATGGTTGGATAGTGTTCTCGAAGCTACCAGCATGAGTTTGACCAAACTGCGGGAGGCAGTGGAAGACAGGAGTGCCTGACGTGCTCTGGTCTATGGGGTCACGAAGAGTCGGACACGACTAAACGACTAAACAAACAAAAAGAGATTACACAGACGTGTGTCTGATATCTACAAGCCATTTGGGGAATGCAGATCCTACTTGAAATGGTCAGTTCAGCGACTGCAGTCCCACAAGAATAGTAGAGATACATTCTTCTCACTTTTGATTTAGTACTGCAATAAGTGGGGAAAGATGCCATATGGATACAGCTTAAGGTCAGCAGGACTGAAGCTGTTCAGGACTTTCTAGGCCAAAGCCAGTACCTCGAAATGCGCCAGGAGGCCAATGGTGATGCTGAAGCATGGGTTCAATGTGATTCCCATATTTTCCTTCAGAAGTGAATCTCAGCAAGGGACAGGTGCTAAAATAAAACAGAGGAAAAATGAAAACGTACAAACTATATACAGTCATTCATCTTCTGGCAGCCTGAGCAAAGCACAAGCCAGTGTCAATTTAACGAACTGAAGCTTTAACAGTGCCTTTTGAACTGCTTGAATTAACAAAATCAATCCTCATAAATTAAAGTATCATTGATCTATGATACAATTAAGTCCTATAATCCCCCCACCCACACACACACACAAAAATGCTATCAGCATATGCCGTGTCACCAAGCTACTTCCAACACTGAATTTTAACCACTGTTGGCTACCTCTCCTGCCGGTCTGTGTAAAATTCCCATCTGGCACATGAAATGTTCACATTAGGATACAGTATTCCACTCACCCTCACTCTCCCCCTCCCATCCACACCACCTCCATTTTTCAATTTAGGCTGACATCTGCTGGCCTAAGCTAATGGTTAGGCAAACAATGCTGAATGCAACCCGGTTTCAGGAGGCATTTCTGCCTTTTTGTCATTTCTGCTTTGAAACCACAACCAAACCTCTTAATTACGTAGGAAATTCGCATGGAATAATAATTTGGGAAGCAGCAAGGGATGAACAATACCAGCCGATGAAAATGACGTTGACATAATGAATTATATGCATTGCAAATACAGCGCACCGTGTCCTTAATACAAAGAGTCAATAGGAACCATCATATATTGGCCAATTAAGCCTATACAGAGAGGGGCGATTTAATGGTACCATACTGGGGGTCATAATGGGAAGTCAGCACACACGCCCCCTCTTTTAACCTTTGCAGTCGGACTAAGGGAAGGGGGAGTGGCCTTTGTGGCTGGCAATGGCCTAGAGAGGTTTGATCCGACAGAGGGTAATTTAGGACAAAATACTTGCCTTTCAGCCGAGTGCATGGGACATTTCCGACAGTAATTAGTGGCAGTCCAAATGTAGAGGAACTAACTAGAGAAAGAGACCTATGGCAGAATGACTGACAGGATGCATTAAAAAAAGGCACAATTTCACGACAAGAAGATTGAGTCCAACGCAGCCAATGTGGCTTAATTCCCCAGTACTAAAAAGCCAAATAAGAAGTTATTTTTTAAAAAAACCAAAATATCATCAGGTCAAGTTGGTATACAGTGGTACCTCGGGTTACAGACGCTTCAGGTTACAGACGCTTCAGGTTACAGACTCCTGAAATAGTACCTCGGGTTAAGAACTTTGCTTCAGGATGAGAAAAGACATCGCGCGGCGGCAGTAGCGGGAGGCCCCATTAGCTAAAGTGGTACCTCAGGTTAAGAACAGTTTCAGGTTAAGAATGGACCTCCAGAATGAATTAAGTTCTTAACCTGAGGTACCATTGTACGTCTATAAGGAACATAAGAAGCATTTGCCAGATCAAACCAAGCACATTTCTAGTCTGACATCCTCTGGGCAACCCTGATGTTGATAAGAAGCCCACAAGTAGAGAGTCGCCCAATGAAAGAAATAAGGGAGAGTCAGTTCCACAGTTCTTGCTTTGACACGAGAACCGAGCCAAAGAATAGTGGAACATTGTATTCATGCTGGCTCTGGACCTTGTGCACCTTGTCTTGGGGCTCCTTGCCCTCCCTCTGCTGAACCCCCTTGGCAGATGGTCAGTCGCAAGACTTTTGAAGTCCATGTGGGCACCCCCATCCACGGAGAAGGTCATGTTGAAACACTCGTAGTCAGAGAGGTGAGAGTAACAAGGCCAGAATGCCTTTTTGTGAGAGGTGGGACTCTCCTCCGGCTAAGTGGCTCATACACTTTTAATAAAGGGAGTTTCATCAGGTGTAGCTCACACTGTTTGTGCAATGCTGAGATAAGAATAAGAAAAATGTATTACGATCACACCCAACTGTATGCTCTCTTTGTTTATTTAACTGTTATACATGGAAGCTCCATTGTTTTAGTTTGATGGAGGGAGGAGTGGTTGCTCTCAGCCATGCAACTATTCTGCTCAGGAGTCAGCATTTGCTATGCTTTAGCATGTGCTCAAAGAAAGACGTCTGCAGCAGTGGGGCAAAAGCCACATACTGAATTCAGTTGGCCACAGATTTACAGCACAATCTTATGAGGACTTTTTTTAAATAATAAAAAAGCAGACTGAAGCACAAATGTGGAGAACTGAACATAAGATTGGAAAAATGAGAGACAGAAAGAAACAGAAAAGGACATTCACTTATCCCTACTCAGAAGTAAACTTTATTGTGTTCACCAAGGCTTACTCACAGAAAAGTATATATAGAATTGCAGTTTTAGAAGTCAGAATACTAAGACTTCACAGTGGGTCCATAAGCTGAAGTGATCATTTGAGAAAGCCATCAAATATGTCATAGGTAAAGGTAAAGGCACCCCTGACTGTTAGGTCCAGTCGCAGACGACTCTGGGGTTGCATGCTCATCTCACTCTACAGGCCGAGGGAGCCGGTGTTTGTCCGCAGACAGCTTCCGGGTCATGAGGCCAGCATGACTAAGCCACTTCTGGCGAACCAGAGCAGCACACGGAAATGCCGTTTACGTTCCCGCCGGAGCGGTACCTATTTATTTACTTGCACTTTGATGTGCTTTCAAACTGCTAGGTAGGCAGGAGCAGGGACTGAACAACGGGAGCTCACCCCGTGTTGGGGATTTGAACCGCCAACCTTCTGATCAGCAATCCCTAGGCTCTGTGGTTTAGACCACAGCGCCACCCGTGTCCCCCCAAATGTGTCGTATGCCAAACCAAATGCAAGTGATCAATGTGATTTCTTTTTTAAAAAATAAAATAAAATTAATAATAATAATTTTTTATTTGTACCCTGCCCTCACATTTTTTATTTGTACCCTGGAGCCGGGCTCAGAGCGGCTAACATCACATAAATAATACAATAAAATATCTTTCCACCTACGTTTACATGACACCCCCTTATTATGTTAACCCCTCTGACCCACTGTGATCTGCAACAGTTTTGCAAGCCAGTCTTGGGTTTTGCTATCTCAGAACCTATAAAGCAGCAATACCAGAGATGGATCTGAGGACCTTCTGTATGCAAGACATGTGCTCTTGCACTGAACTGCAGTCTCAATCACAATAGCCAGTCACGAAAAATAAATGCAATACCTCTATTAATGCCTTCTGACTTCATATCATTCCTTGCTTGGTTAGCTATGAATGGGCCACTGAGCAAGCACTTTGAATGCCTCTCGAATGCGACAACATGCAAAATGAGCAGGATCTGTTTCAGTAGCGTTATTGTCTCTAGGAACGGCAGGAAACAAACGTCTCAGAACAGAAGATCTACGCGGCCCTCTGCTTTGCAGCTTGCTTCTTCCAAAGTGATGCAGGAAACAGAGTGTTTGCTCAGTTACTTTTCTCCTGCTTTGCAGACACATATGTGCTCCCAAAATGGCTCACATCAATAAAAAATAAAAGGAGATACAAGCCCTTCCCTCAGAGTCACAAATGAAAAAGACAAGGCTTCCAAGGGAAGGGGAGTGTGGTCGAAAAGTTAGAAGAGGGAGATCAGTTGGACAAGGTCAGAATAAAGTCATTTATGCAGAAGCAGATGTTAGAGTTGCTGCAAGCGAAATCCTTGATCTGGACCTTGTGCAGAGTAGAAAATGAATTTGCTTTCCACCACAAGAATGAATTACAAATCTGTACTGGAAACAGTCTTAAGATAGTTACAAATAAACATTACAAAGATACACAATAACACATTGTGCTTAAACAAGTAAGCAATGCTGCCCCCAACTTCTTTAAGTCCTTAAAACAGATCAGTAACTTTCCCCTCTCTGATCCCAGAGAGAGATCCTATGCAATCATCTTGTTTGATCATCGTCGCTGAATTTTGCATCTACTGCTACTGGCCCTATCGACTAACAAAGGCTTAGTTCACAGGTTTCATTTCCTGCTGTGAGAGATCTGCAGCTCAGAGCGCTAGACAATATAAAAACACAGAAATAAATAACATATTAACAAACATAAACAATACCCCCACCCCAACAGTTTAAAAGGTAATAGATTGGGAGGAGAGGAATGTTTTCTCCTGGCATCTAAATATATGTAATGAAGGCATCAGGTGAGCCTCCCTAGGGAGAGCATTCAAAAAGTGGGGATCCACTGCAGAAAAGTCCCATTTTCATGTTGGCACCCTCCAGGGCTCTTGAGGAGGGGGCACACAAACCAGGGCATCATGTGATGATCGCAGGACCCAGGGTGGTTCATGGGGAAGAGGCAGTTCTTGTGATCCTGATGCATTATGATCCTGAGCCACAATTAGTGAGAAATAATTTTGAAATGCTATTAAGGAATCAAAGAATGGCAAATCTTCAGAACCAGATTGGTTCTGTGCGGAGTATTATAAACACTTCTCAGAAAATCTTTTTCCACACTTATTGGACTTATTTAGCAATATTCTTTCATGAGGACAGATTCCAGAATCCACAGAATACTACTCATTCCTAAACTAAAGATATTAAGCAATTAAATTCCTATAAGTGAACCACATTGCTTAATGGAGATTATAAGTTATTTTTACTACAATTCTAACAAATAGACTCAACATATTTATACCATATCTCTTGACCAAGGCCAGTCTGGTTTTCTGTTGTGTGCAGGCCCTATCTGACAATTACTGAATTTTATTCATTACTGCATAAAAAATATATCTGCCAGGAATAATATCAAGGGGAGGTGCCAGTGGGCCAAATTTATGGCTCTTGTTGCCCTGCTAAAAATGGATCAATTTCATTCCTTTGGAAGATTTATTCAGTGGTGAGCATATTGGGCCTGTTCAGAGGGAACGTTTTAGAAGAATTTTTAGGGAAGTTAAAATAATTTGAGTATGTTTGGTAGTGTGTTTAAGGAAGGTCTCACACGACTCTATTTCTCAGTTGCAAAGTCTGTTACCTAAAGACCTATCCATGACAGTCTGTCTGATATGATTCATGAGTATATTTCTACAGGTTAAAGACTTCCCTATTATCTATGAATTAAAGCCCAATCAATCTCTAGTGTTGCTTTATTCAAATGAGTGCTCATCATTCCCCATTGGTTTTTGTCCCTCTCACACTTCTGCCACTGGCTCAGTATTATCCCAAATGTACTGGTTGACATTAAGCTACTTGGGATAAACAATGATCAGTACTAATATTTAAAAAAACGATTCATGGCTCCCTCACATTGTTAGTGCTTTTCCACTCATGTGGACCCTTCTGAGTTCAGTCCTGCTGTGCCTTCAGTGACCTCCCATCTTCTGGCATTATTACCCAGCATGAAACATGGTGGATGGAGCAGTCCTGTGCTCACCCTGCCACCCCAGACACCAGGGACCTATGAATGTCTTCACGGTCAACATCTAAATGATAAAGTTATTTCTGTGACACCCATGCTAAGCAAAATCCTTTAGCGCAATGCCACAATCTATAATCTTTGAGAATTCTTGGAGAGCAGGCAAATGTTGTCCCCATCTTCAACAAGTGGCGGGGTTGGGGAGAAGATCCAGGAAAGGTGCTAGAACCGATAATTAAACAGGCGACCTGTGAGCACTTAGAAAAGGATGCTGTGATTATGAAGACACAGCATGGGCTTCTCAAAAACAAGCCATGCCAGACGACTCTCATCTCTTTTTCTGATGGAGTTACAGGCTTGGTTAATCAGGGGGCTGCTGTGGACATAGTGTATATTGACTTCAATAAGGTTTTTGACAAAGTTCCCATGATCTTCTTGTGAGGAAGCTGGTAAAATGTGGGTTGAACGAGGTAACTGTGGATTTGTAGCTGCTTCACTGACTGAACCCAAAGAGTACCCATTAACGGTTTCTCATCATCCTGGGGAAAAGTGACAAGTGAGGTGCCACAGGCTTCTGTCCTGGGTCCGTTGTTGTTATATGTATTTATAAATGACTTGGGTGAAGGAATTGAGGGGATGCTCATCAAATCTGCAGATGACACCAACCTGGGAGGTGTAGCTAATGCCACAGAAGACAGAATCGGAATTCAAGATGACCTTAACAGATTGGAGAACTGAGCCCAAATTTCCAATGCAGACAGTAGTATTCCAAATAAAAATACTACAAGGGGATACTGTGATAACCGAAAGTATTATTTCTGACTGTATGCAGGAGACACCATGGTGAACCATGGAAAGGAGATGTTGTTAAGTCCCTAATTGAACTGTGTGTGCAAAATGACTACCGATGCACATTAACATTTCTGAAGTTGCCATGGGAATGAAATTAGAAGTTAAGCAGTAAGGTATGTGTAAACACATCCATAGATTTTCTTGAACTTCTTTTGCAGCAGAAAGCAGGGTGGTGGTGGGAGTATTGCTAGCCCATCCATCAGGTCGTATTGACACACTCAGTTGGAGAGAGGTTTGTCTGGCAAGGCCGTAAAAGGCAGAGGCTCAAAGGGGTGGAATGTCACGTCTAGGGCATTTCACATTAGCATAGAATCACAGAATGGCAGAGTTGGAAGGGACAACACAGATCATCTAGTCCAACCCCCTGCAATGCAGGAATCTTTCGCCCAATGTGGGGCTTGAACCCACAACCCATGAGATTAAGAGTCTCATGCTCTACCAACTGAGCTATCCGAGCTGCTAGTGTCCCATTTACATGCATGTTCTGACATCAGTGCAGGAGTCAGTCCAAATTACCCACTTTTTGCATGCCTCTTTTGAGTTTGGGGATCTCATTCTGCTCTGACCAGTTTCCAATGCTCATAAGCTTTCCCCTGCAACTCCTATAATGATAGGCTGTCACCATCAGCTCCAGTCTTTTCTAGACATTGTTACTGTGGATTCTGGTGTTGTCTGTTTGTCAAACATTTGAAATTTCGATATTTGATATTTGACACCTGACGTCCCATATTTGACTTGGACAATGTGTGGCATTTGACAGTCTGCATTTGCTACATTATAAGTTGACATTTGATATCCAGTGTTGACATTCAACATATGATAATATGGAGGAAGAATATTAGAGAATGGATCAATTCCAAACAGCACTAGGATGTTCTGCGGGGCAAATATAGAAGAATTCACTTATTCTGGGAAGTGTGACTTCAAAATTAAAATGTGTAAGAATGCATCATGCACCATTGACTGGGTAAATATTAATACCATAAGTTTCTATGTAGATATTTTTCTTTAATTGCAACAGTGGGCTTGAGAATTAATATTCAGTGCTGGTTACATACCAAGAGGTCACAGTGCTGTAACATTTTTCCCCACTTAGTATAAATCAGTCAGGGGGTATTCCAGCTTTAAATCACCTTTATGGATTGCCACAAATTTCCATGGTCAATCCAACTGCCCGGTCGAATTTCAACAAGTCCTATTTGTATTTCCACACTTCCTATTATTTGCAATGATTTGCTTCAGCCTCAGATCTCAGGTGGTTTTTGTACATTCTCATTAAACTCAACACTGCATTGCATTATAGGTCTTGTAGTCAACAGGTTAGTGATGTATGGAAGTGAGAGCTGGACCATAAAGAAGGCTGATCGCCGAAGAATTGATGCTTTTGAATTATGGTGCTGGAGGAGACTCTTGAGAGTCCCATGGACTGCAAGAAGATCAAACCTCTCCATTCTGAAGGAAATCAGCCCTGAGTGCTCACTGGAAGGACAGATCGTGAAGCTGAGGCTCCAATACTTTGGCCACCTCATGAGAAGAGAAGACTCCCTGGAAAAGACCCTGATGTTGGGAAAGATTGAGGGCACAAGAAGAAGGGGACGACCGCATTCTCGAAGCTACAAACATGAGTCTGACCAAACTGTGGGAGGCAGTGGAAGACAGGAGTGCCTGGCGTGCTCTGGTCCATGGGGTCATGAAGCGTCAGACACGACTAAATGACTAAACAACAGCAAAGTCAACAGGTGCTCAACAACAGGTCTATTTAGCTTGCAGTTACATAACATCAACAGTTTTGCATATATAGCTTTAAGATGACAAAGCAGTTTTGCAGCTGTGACCCTAAGAAGAATGTGTGTAAGAATTGCACTGAGGCTGTAGTTCTATGTACGCTTCCCTGGGAATAAGCAGCAAGGATTTCTTCTGAGTAAATGTGCATAGAGTTATGCTATCAATGTTTTGCGCAACCTCCATTTGCTCAGCTGGTGTATTGTCGAAATCTAAAGGAAGCAACGTCAGCTTCTGTAAGTCAGCCTGGCATTTCAGAAGACAATTCTCTGCTAGCAAAATCCTAATTCCTATCCTGAATCATGTCTTACACAGACTTCAGAAAAAAATCTCTATCAAATGTCGTGACAGGCACTGTAGTTCAGTGAACAGCTTGTTGTCGAGGAGGGTTCAGATTGCATCTCAGTAATGGACTTACATTGCCCTTGAATAAGTCACTCAGCAGCAGTTCACTGTTGTTAAATTGGGAATAACTGGGTCCCATTATTTCGTGATCGTGGTATCTCCCCTGCCAGGTAAGTACTTATCTGGTTCCATGATTTCGGGGCAATTCTGTCACCCCACCACCACTTTGCCTCTCTGCTCCAACAGTTGCTTACCAGCCCCTTCTGCCCCTATAACACATGCACATGAATGCACACGAGGACCACAGTGACTCCTACCCCCCCCCCCCCGCCAAAGTTCCGAGAGGCGGGACTCAGAACATCCGGAAGCAGGTGCCGTTTGGACCATATGACGCAGAGGAGGGAGCATGGATGCAAGGCGAGGGTGCTGCACCAAAAACCATGCATCTTTTGATCCTGTCCTCTGGTGGGAGCCAGCTGACTCTCGCTGAGCTTGGGAGCCAAAACAGGACATCTTGAGAATTCTGGGATGTCCCAGTCAAATCAGGATGGTTGAGGGGTATGCAGGAAGTCCCCAACCCTGGCTCAGCCCAAGACACACCAGTGTAATTTGCTCATCCCAGTTCACCTGAAACCAGCCAAGCCAATGGCAGAAAGAGACATTGTGTGAATGTGACAGGGGTAATACCAGAGAGGGAGGACTTAGGCTGAACCCTTAGCCTGTTCAGCCCAGTCAGGTGACCCGGCTGACTGGCATAGAACAGTTTTAAAGGCTTATTCTCCCTTTTTCAGGCATAGACTGAGCAGCTATACCACTGGGTCGGGTTTGGATCTGGTGTAACTCTACACTGGCTTGATTTGCACCAACTTGGCACTGTGGTCTAAACCACAGAGCCTAGGGCTTGCTGATCAGAAGGTCAGCAGTTCGAATCCCCGCGCCCGGGTGAGCTCCTGTTGCTCGGTCCCTGCTCCTGCCCACCTAGCAGTTTGAAAGCATGTCAAAGTGCAAGTAGATAAATAGGTACCGCTCCGGCAGAAAGGTAAACGGCGTTTCCATGCACTGCTCTGGTTTGCCAGAAGTGGCTTAGTCATGCTGGCCACATGACCCAGAAGCTGTACGCCGGCTCCCTCGGCCAATAAAGCGAGATGAGCACCACAACCCCAGAGTTGTCCGCGACTGGACTTAACGGTCAGGGGTCCCCTTTACCCTTTACTGTTCATGGAGTTGCTCCCTAAGTGACTTTCTTAACACAGTCATTGCAAGGATGAAAGAAATAAAGGTTGCAAAACATGCTGAACACAGAAAAAGGAAATTAAGAATTCTTATTCAATAACAGCAGCCATTCCATTAACTTCAGTGATACTGTGGTGAATTATGCATTCACAGGTCTGCTGTAGAGGTTTCCTTTATTTTTGGAAAATATAAGTTATAGTCAATTCACTCAGCTGGACTTAAAACCAGAGTAAGAATCTGGCCAGCCGAATTTGGACCACACTCATGGCCCAAGGCAGCTGAGGTGCTCACAGAATGAAGCCATTCTCTTGGCAGGCATGCTCTGACCTGTGCATTAAGCCCTCTGTTTACAATGCTGGGTCGACTGGGTGCTTGTGTGCGGTTTGGCAGCTGCAGCAAGCCCACAGGAGGAAAATCGCCTGAGCCAAGGAAGAAAGGAGTGAAAATCCCAATTAAAAGCTCCAACCTGCAACAGCTGCCCTCCCTTCCAAGGCTTTGCAACTTCACAGAAGTGAGAGTAACAGTGGGGTTTTCCTCTCGCAGTTACCGAGATCACGCAGCTCTCTTGACATTGACGCATTCACGGCCCTCACTGTCTTTTACAAATGACACCTCTGACAATTATAAAAGCCTTAAGCGCAGGTAGATCTTTTCTTCTATAAATATCAATGCAATTTTCTCTCCGGCACGTGGAACGGGGTGGTGTTTTCACTTTCCTCTGCCTCGCTGAGCTCCCGTGTTCTGTTTAATTGTTAGTCAAAAGGGAAGCGTGCTGGCTTTCTTTAGACTTTATGGCTCTCAGGCTAAAAGGGTTCTTCTCGAAGCCTCTCCTCCGCTGCCCCCACCCCCACCCCAGAAGCCCCCCGGATCCACACAAACATTTAATTTACAAAACTGACACATTAGCTCCGATGGCCTGTGAGAATAAATGAATAATGCTGTATGTTCGTTTGCCATACAACAGCAACATTTTCTCAAAGATTGTTTTTAATTGAAACCATTCATCATGTTGAATGTGGAACGTATTCATTAGAAAGCGGTGCCTTTGGAAAGGATGGGAGGCTTAGGAGATCACCAGTAATAGGAAATGAAGGGCCGACTCACATCGTTACTTCCTCCAACATGGAGATTAATACACATGGCGGGGATGTGTGTGAAACGCAATGCGTTAGCGCTACTCAACTATATCTATTTCACTCTGGGCTGGCGCACCAGGAAGCCCGTTAGGAGCAAACAGTGCAGATTAACGGCGCTTGGGACAAGGACACCACAGAGCAGCGTGGGGTCTCTGACACATTGTTTTCGCAGGGGTTGGAGGATTGCTTGTGTTTTAAATACCCTAGTGTAACATTAGCTCTGCAACTTTAGGAGGAAATCCCAATTGTACTGCAAATAAGATGAAAATTCTTCCTAGGTTTCTACACAGGTATTAATCTTCATGCAGTAGGCCAAAACCAGTTGATACCCACTCCAAAAATCTCATCTGGTGGTCTAAATGGCACCCTTGCTGGTAGGCCACTAAACCTGTGCTAGTTAAATGCAGTTAAGCAGTGCATGTAGGCTGGGGCTCGCTAATGCTATCCAATTCTCTCTCCCTCCTGTAATGTTTGCTCAGAGTACCCAGACCAGCCAAGTGAAAAGGACTGTGATTCAAGAATGAGACAAAGAGATACACATACATGGGGTCGTGCATTCCCAACAGAAATGTTGAGTCAGATCATTGGTCCATATCATCTACGCTGAGTGGTAGCAGCTCTCCAGAATTACTTCCTAGCCCCACCTGGAGATGGTAGGGATTGAACCTGAAACCTTCTGTGTGCAAAGCTATCACTGAACTATGGCTCTGTTGGAGCAATCAGGAATCTTTTTCAGCTGGAAGAATATGGCAATGGCTCCACCACTTTTCATATACATGGAAATGTTCAGATCAGCCTGGACTGACTTTTGAGAAAATGGCCCTTAACCCAGATTTTGAGCATCTACTTTTCCCTCCTCCAATTGGAATTCCTCATGATTCCTTGATGTCATCCATTTCATGAAGCTCAGGTTAGCTCCTGATCCCTTGCCTGATCTTATTTAGAGATATTTTTTTTAATT